AGTATTTTTGGTTTGGTGTTATCAGTGTGATGCAGAGTCTGTGATTTAGAGTTTTCTCCAGTTCCTCAGTGTGATGGCGGTGGGGAAGAAGCTGCTGCAGAACCTGCTGGTCCTGCATTGAATGCTGTGAAGCCTCTTCCCAGAGGGCAGCAGGGAGAACAGTCCATGGTGGGGGGGTGAGGGGTCATTGATGATGTCACAGGCTTGGGACACGCAGCGCTGGGATGAAATGAAATGTACATAATCAGGAGCCGTTCAGATTCAATATGCATCTAATTACCAGATAAAACGGAGCATAAAGCATGAAAATCAAATCTATAACACTCACCAGAGATGCTGATTTTTAATAAAATAAATCCATCCATCTCAGTATCTCCATTTATTATCAGCCATTGAGACCAGAAACACTTTGAACAAAAGCAAATCTAAAATGCAGATTGTCGCTAGCTTAACTTGGCTGTAAACATTTCGCTCTAACTGACCAATCAGAGGACAGAAAATGCTGATGTAGGGGCGGGGCCTCTTGCTGACCCTGTGGAGCAAATCTAAAATCTGATTCATTGAAGAAAACGTTCCTCAGTAATGTTAAGAAAACAACAGCAGCACCACTGATCATCAAGACCCTGGGCAGATTAGACTGACATAGCAACAGACAGGCTGAAATCTGATTGGACAAAAAAATACAGCAACCAGATAAAAGTTATGGAAGCAGCAAAGCTAAGAGAAACGCTACAGAATGAAGAGAATAGATTGTTTAGATTGTTAGTTTATTTTCTGCCTGTTTTTGGCGTGCTTCAGTAGCAAGGCGGTTAGCGCACACGTGACCCATGTCCCCATTTTTAAAAACGATTTCTGTTTCCAGATTCCTCCTGGTTGACGCCCCTGCCTCTGAGCTCCCGACAGAGAATAGACCAGAGCAGCACGGGCGACTCAGCAGCATTTAACCGCTCCACTGTGGCGTCAGAGCAGAGCCGTTTTTCTTCTGTCCAAATACCAACCGTGACCTTTGACCTGGGAAATGAATGGGATGAATGGGGAGATTTCGACGACGAAAACTTGCTGAATTCCAGCGAGACGCCTCCGTGTACGACCAGCTCCCAGCCTGAGGTGCAGCAGAAACACCGTATGCCAGGTATAGTTAGATGAAAGTCACATTTTATAGCTTTTTTTATCACATAAGATAAGTGATCATTATTATTTATGGAATAAGTTTTCACAATTGCATTTGTCTGTGATAATCATACTTTCAATGTTTCTACAGGTTGTGCTACAACATCATCAGCAGTGTTTATCAGCAGCACACAGGTCAATCCCAGTCTCACCACACCATTCAGGTTAGGCCTCTAACCGCCCAGCGCTGGGCTCTACAGGCCCAAAGGGTTTCAGACAAAGCTGACTGCTTACAGACATTCCAGTGATTCAATAAAATCTTTCAATCCAACGTTTGTTTCAGATCAGTTCCAAGACCTGAGGTCAGGGAAGCTGGACCCTCTGCTTCCAGTCACTCCCTCATATCCCAGAACAGAATCACT